TATCTATCTACCTACCTACCTACCTACCTACCTACCTACCTACCTACCTATCTATCTACCTACCTACCTACCTACCTACCTACCTACCTATCTATCCTTGGAGGTCTTCTGGTCCATCCTGCTGACCCCCTACCATTCCAGACCAATGGCTGTCTAATCTCTTCCTGGAAGCCTCCAGTGATGGAGCCTCTACCACTTCTGGAGGTGAGCCTCTTGGTTTGGAAATAAAAAAGGTCTTTTTAGGGTGTTATTGAAATATCCCCATAATTAATTCCTTCCTTAGTTCCGGGTTGAAGCCCTCCCTTCCTCTCACCTGGAACTTCATGGAGCTGAGCTTGTACATGATGTCGCCCAGGTTCTCCCGGATGATGGCCCAGGTGATCTTGTGGTCAGACTGGGCGGTCGACTCCACGGCGTGGCGGGCCAGCTCATAAAAAGTGATCATGTTCTGCAGCATGCCCACCGTCTTGTAGAAAGGGCAGAACCTGAAGCAGCAAAGGGCCAACAGATCCAGGCTCACTCAGCCCGCCCGATCCTCCCTGGAAGATCCCCCCACGGACCTCCAGCTCTCCAGGGAGGGCGGGGGGGGGGGGAATCAGATTTTTCTCTTGTACTGTTTCCCCTCAGAAAAGAGAAGGCTGAGAAAAACTCCAAGGGGGAGGGGTAGTGGGCAGACCCTCCCAATGGGTCAAAGATTATCTAAACATGACGAAGACAGAAATTAAATATGTTCTGGAATGTTCTTTCATTCCATTTCCATTGGCCTTTCAGGAGCGGACTATGGACCCAAACCCTTCTTTCTAGGATCAAGAGGTTTCTTCCCAAAAAATCGGCCAGTTAAATCACCTTTAAATCACCTGGTTATCACCTTTAAAGCCCTATCTGGCTTTGGGCCAGGTTATTTGAAGGAGGGCCTCTCCCCTATTACACCTACCCCACCCACCCCAGGAGAGGAAGTCAGGTCACATTATGGGTCCCGTTCGATCGGGGATGTCCTTCTGGTGAGACCACCAAAAAGGGTCTTCTCGGTGGTGGCCCCTTCTCTGTGGAACATCATTACTCTGGAGGTGGCTGGCCACACCCTCTTGCTTTACTGAAGGGCCCTAAATATGGCGTTTGGTCAGTGGTTTCCCGGGGACCCCGATTGGGAACAGAGCAACCATATGCATTTGTTTCCTAAATACACCCAGGTCAGAGGTGGGTTTGGCCCGGTTCAGCCTAAACGGTAGTGATAATGTTGCCTGGGTCGCAGAACCGGCAGCAACCCAGGCTGGCCACGCCCCTAAACCGGTTCCCTGGTCTCCGTTGGCGTTGCTGGCATCTTGTTTATTACCTTTTAATGGTCTTCGCACTTACGCATAACCATTTTCAGTGAACTGTGCATGCGCAAGCAATGTGCCTACAAGTGAACAGGTACCGGTTCATGTAGGAAGCCACCCCTGATACAGGTAGTCCTCAACTTACAATGGCAGTTCGTTTGGTGACCTTTCCAAGTTATAACAACCCTGAAAAGGGGGGATTATTATGACCATTTTCACACTTATGACGGTTGCAGCATCCCCGGGGTCACTGGATCAAAATTTGGAGACTTGGCGACTGGCTCCTATTTATGACGGTCGCAGCCTCCCGGGGTCACGTGATCCCCTTTTGGCGACCTTCCGACAAGCAAAGTCAGTGGGGAAGCCGAATTCATTTAACAACCCTTAACAACTGCGGTGATTCACTTAACAACTGTGGCGAGAAAGGTTGCAAAACGGGGCGTAATTCAGTTAATAAATCTCTGACAGCAACAGAAATTTGCTTGTAAGTTGAGGACTACCTATGCTAACAATGGCACACAGCCGCACGTTTTGTGGCTGGCTGCAGGGGGCTGTATTGGAAGTCAAAGAGGGCCCTACGGACTTCACGGGGGTCCTTGAGGAGACCTGCCCTGGGGTGAGGGGTGGCCTGGGAGGTGATGGGGAGGAGCCCCGCATTACCTGTCGTAGGAGGAGTAGCCGTTCTGCTGCAAAAAGTCGTCTTTGATCAGCTTGGCTACCTCCAGGGTGATCTTGTCGCTTTCAGCAAGAGATGCCTGCACAACACAAAATGGAAGAGTTTGTGTGTGTGTGTGTGTGTGTAAAAAGCAGCAGAAGAAAATAAGGCACAAGGGAAGGTGATAAATTTGGGCTCCCTGCTCTGCCTCAAGAAGGTTCACCTTTAGAAGAGAAGATTTGTAACTCGGGATTAAAGTGTGGGGGGTCCTTGGTGCTCTCTGAGCTTGGTGGGTTTCTTGCAGGCATTTCATGACCCAACTAGGGAACATCCTCAGTGCTAGAAGGGAGTGGGGTTTGTGGAGAGGAGGAGGAGAAGGAAGAAGAAGAGGAGAAGGAAGAAGAAAAGAGGAGGAAGGGAGNGGAAGGAAGGAAGGAAGGAAGGAAGGAAGGAAGGAAGGAAGGAAGGAAGGAAGGGCAATAGCAACAGCACTTAGGCTTATATACCGCTTCATACTGTTTTCGAGCCCTCTCTAAGCGGTTTACAGAGTCAGCCTCTTGCCCCCAATAATCTGGGTCCTCATTTTGCCCACCTTGGAAAGATGGAAGGCTGAGTCAACCTTGAGCTGGTCAGGATCGAACTCCTAACTGGGGAAGAGTTTGCTTGCAATTCTGTATTTCAACCACAGGGAGGGAGGGAGGGAGGGAGGGAAAGGGAAGGAAGGAAAGGAAAGGAAAGGAAATAGCAATAGTGCTTATATACCGTTTTACGGTGCTTTACAACCTTCTCTAAGGGGTTTACAGAGTCAGCCTCTTACCCCCAACAATCTGAGTCCTCATTTTACAGACCTAGGAAGGACGGAAGGCTGAGTCAACCTTCAGCTGGTCAGGATCAAACTGCTGGCAGTGGGCAGTGAGTAAGCCCGCCCTATGCATTCTAACCACTGCACAGCTCTAGTAAGACAGTTGTTAAGTGGATCTGGCTTCCCCGTTGACTTTGCTCATCAGAGGGCGGCCAAAGGGAACCACCTGTTCCAAACTCTCATGAATATGAGCCAGTTGCCAAGCATCTGGATTCTTGATCCTGGGACCGTGGGGATGCTGCAATGGTCGTAAGTCACTTTTTACAGTGCCGTTGTAACTCTAAAGGGTCACTAAATGAACTGTTGTAAGTCGAGGTATTTAGTGATGAAGTTCATGCACATATAAATTTCATGAATAAATATCTCCCTCTTTTCCTGTCTCTATAAAAACAGCTCCCAGAGAAGCCCAGGGAGAATCCAATGCAGCCTTGGATGGGTCCTGACGTTGATGGATCTTTCATCTGAGGAAGGAAGATCTCTTTCTTTCTATCGCCCAACCCCCCAGGACAAACCAGCACAGGACTCATGGCAAAAACACTCAGCATTGTTATTTTAACCCAACTTGGAATCCTGCTGGAATGGCTTCCTCAGCAGCTGGAGATCAGCTGGGGCTGTTTTTACATGTTATCCGCAGGGCCATGTCCCTCCCGGATGGAAATTAAATAACACATGGGGTATTCAAGTAAGCACTGAGAAGGGAGGAAAGAAAAGGAGGGAGGAATTAAGGAAGGAGAGGAAGGGAGGGAGGGAGGGAGGGAGGAAAGGAAGGGAGGGAGAAAGGGAGGAGGAATTAAGGAAGGGAGGGAGGAATTAAGGAAAGAAAAGAAGGAAGGAGAAGAAAGGAAGGGAGGAAGGAAAGAAGAGAGGAAGGAGGGAGGAATTAAGGAAGGAGAGGAAGGAAGGGAGGGAGGGAGGGAGGAATTAAGGAGAAGAAGGAAGGAGAAGAAAGAAAGGGAGGGAGGGAGGAAGGAAAGAAGAGAGGAAGGAGGGAGGAATTAAGGAAGGAGAGGAAGGGAGGGAGGGAGGGAGGAATTAAGGAGAAGAAGGAAGGAGAAGAAAGAAAGGAAGGGAGGAAGGAAGGAAGGAAAGAAGAGAGGAAGGAGGGAGGAATTAGAGTCCCCTTCGGGGAAAAGGGCGGCATATAAATGCAATAAAATTCAATTAAGGAAGGAGAGGAAAGAAGGAAGGGAGGGAGGAGGGAGAAATTAAGGAAGGAAGGAAGATGTCAGGCTTGGAAGCCATATTTTACTGTGAGCCTCAAGCCTGCCACATATTCTACTGTGGGAAACTGGGAGGGGGGATTGTATGGGGCATGAGATCTGTGTGGTCATAATAACATTCTTTCTCAGAAAGTCAAGGTCATTTTGCCTTGGCACTTGGAGAGGACTTGCTGGGAAGAATCTTCCTGTGGGACAGTGACTGATTGGGTCACGTGATGGACATGTGGGTGCTGGGGTAGGGTCTTTAACTTTCAACTGGGTGGGGAAAACCTGGAAGCTGTCAGATTCAGGTTTTCCCCAGATGTGCCAACATGGTTCTTCTCATAAATTGGAACTTTGATGAATTTCTAGCCTCGGATTGTTAATTTTTTGAGGATGCTATTTGGAACCCTGACATTAGGAAGAGAGGGAGGAAGGAAGGAAGGAAGGAAGGAAGGAAGGAAGGAAGGAAGGGAGGGCGGGCGGGCCTCCCCTGGCATTCTCGTGTTATTACACAAAAATAAAGAATAAACAAGTCAAACAATTTATTCAAGTGTCGCTAATCGTGGAATTCTGCATCAGTAAAATATAACCCTTTGCCTTTGGCGAACAATGTGCCAACCCCCCAATGTTGAAGGAGCCGGTCAGCCGCCACCTGAAAGATCCAGCGCAGAAAAAGAAGCTCTGAGCCAGGACTGAGGGGAACCTTCCCCAGGCTCAGCCCCTTCCCAGCCTCCAGGTTCAGTCCTCCAAGTTGCGGAAGGCGTTCTGCATCTCCTCGTTCAGCTGAGTGTAGCTGGCCTTGATCTTGGCCTCACCATCCTTTCCGGGATCCTGGACAGAACACGGAAGAACAGACTTGGAAGGGGTCTTGGGGGGGTCTTCCAGTCCAACCTCCAAGCAGGAGACTCTCTAGAGCAGTGTTTCTCAACCTTGGCCCCTTGAAGATGTCTGGACTTCAACTCCCAGAATTCCCTAGCCAGCAATTCTGGAGTTGAAGTCCAGACATCTTCAAGGGGCCAAGGTTGAGAAACACTGCTCTAGAGCCTAGGTCATCTCGGTCAAAGGGCTGTCCAGCCTCTTTTGAAAACCTCCAGTGATGGAGCAGTCACAACTCCAGGGACTCTATCATCTATCCCTTTACTTCCTCCCCCCTCTCATCTATCTATCTATCTATCTATCTATCTATCTATCTATCTATCTATCTATCTATCT